GCGACCAGATTCACCTTGTGCAACCTGATCAGCTGGCTGATTCCAGGAAGCCCAGGGCAAAGTAGCTCTGCCTCGGGCTTCCTGTAGTCAACCGCTGGTCAGTTTCTGCAGCGGCTGAATCGGGGACACCTGGGGTACCCGACTTACGTACAAATTCAACTTAAGAACAAACCTACAGTCCCTATCTTGTACGTAACCCGGGGACTGCCTGTATACTGATTTTTTGAAACACTATAAAAAGTAGTTACCGCCAGCAAACATTTCTGTTGTGTAGACTGACCCCTAATAGTAATTGTGTGACAAATTTGGACAGTTCATTCCAGCTTTATACAGGACAACATCTCAGAGCGCACTGTTCACGAACTTCTAATGACATTCTCGGTGTATGGCCCTTTGCCACTCTGTCGCATTAAACATGGAAACACTAGTACAGATGCATACAGACAGTATGTTGGGTGTAGCACAAACATGTTTTTTTTACAAGTGGCATAGAAACATGGCATAGTCCATTCCTACAATCATTTTGTGAACTACTGGCAGCTACTAAAAGACAGAATATTTAGAAAATAAATGTTCTCTGAGAAAAAAATGACTTTTTAAAAACCTTCAGAGCAGATTCATTACTTTAAATGACAGAAACACTCAGTCTATTTAAAAAGGAATTGATCACAGTGAATTCAATTTAAGACCCATCCACTCTGCAAGACTAACTGCGTAGATCTGCCTACCAGATCGTTATAAATGTATATTATATAAATATAACTACTTTACTACAGCATATGTGATGACAACACAATCATTATAAGATTTTGCCAGTCTGACAGTATATATTAATGTAATTGAAAAGCTTTTGTTTCCTAATATTTGTTTGGTATATCATATAAAACTGAGTTTTCAAGAACAGTCTTTTATGCCAAATGCCCTGTTATCAAGAGAGACACGATATAATAATTAATTACAATATTAAAAAAATCCTCCTTTTAAGATAAAAAGTATTACATTTCCAAAAGGAGTGAGGTAAACAGTAGTGTCCTGGGGAGGGGAGAGAAGGGAAGTCTGCTAGATAAATGAAACATTTGGAAGGCAGCTCAGAAACACAGGGGCTGTGTCTACATTGGCACCCCTTTCCGGAAAAGGGATGCTAATGAGACCAGTCGGAATTGCAAATGCCACGGGGGATTTAAATATCCCCCGCGGCATTTGCATGAACATGGTTGCCGCTTTTTTCCGGCTCTGGGTTTTGCCAGAGAAAAGCGCCAGTCTAGATGGGATCTTGCGGAAAATAAGCCCTTTTCCTGAAGATCCCTTATTCCTACTTCCGGAAAAGGGCTTATTTTGATATATTTAGTTATGATCCAAGAGAATAAAAGAAACAAAAAACATGCAGACCTGACAGCAGCACCTTACAAAAGCAAAGAGTAGAATAGGAAGAAAAGGAACCTGGTGGAAAAAACCCTAAGTGAGATGAGAAATAACGATCTTTCACATCAAACATGCACAGGCATGATTTTGCGCAAATACTTTTAACGGAAGTTTTTCTGTTAAAAGTATTTGTGCAAGAGAGCATCTGTACTGGCATGTGCCTTGCATCCGTGCCAGTGTAGATGCTCTCTTGTGCAAGAAAGCTCCGATGGCCATTTTAGCCATCGGGCTTTCTTGCGCAAGAAATTGATGTTACTTGTCTACACTGCCTCTTGCGCAAGAACACTTGCGCAAGAGGACTTATCTCTGAGCGGGAGCGTCAGAGTATTTGCGGAAGAAGCACTGATTTTGTACATCACAACGTCAGTGTTCTTGCGCAAATACTCGCGGCCAGTGTAGACAGGCAGGAAGATTTTGCACAGAAGTGACTGCTTTTGCGCAAAATCTTGCCAATGCAGACACAGCTGCAGAGTCTCCAAGTCAGCAGTGTTCAAAGGAAGGGCACAAGGAGGGTCAGAGACCCTCTCGAAAACACAATCTCCAGGAATCCCTCAGAAATACCGACCTTCAAAGTGAGCAGACAGCTAGAAAAAAGCGGGGACTGGAAATTAACGATTGACAGCTCTTGCATCACCTTTTCCTACCGCAGGCACGGTCAAGTTCATCATTCCTCCCCCTCCCCCGATCCACCCTCACCCCGACAATGACAGGGCGCACGGGCTTTCGTATCATCCCCTAGGCTATGGGGGACAAACCCCTCAGGGGAAGGGGCGCAATTCTGCCCCATTAGAGAAGCGGGGACTGGAAATTAACGATTGACAGCTCTTGCATCACCTTTTCCTACCGCAGGCACGGTCAAGTTCATCATTCCTCCCCCTCCCCCGATCCACCCTCACCCCGACAATGACAGGGCGCACGGGCTTTCGTATCATCCCCTAGGCTATGGGGGACAAACCCCTCAGGGGAAGGGGCGCAATTCTGCCCCATTAGAGTGCGGGGTGGGGACAGTTGTAACGCTCTCTCCATGTGCCGCAGCAGCGTTTGCGGGGGGGAGGGACTTTAAGCCCCACAGCGAATATCCCTCCGGGGTGAGAGAGGGCAACTGCAAGCGCCCTCCTCTCGGGCACTTTCCACACCGGCCCCGGCTGGCCTGGCTGCGCGCCCCCGGCCGCTCTGCGGGGAACTCGATAGCGGGCGGCGGCAGGTTGAGCCCCGTGATCCTAGGCCAGAGCTCGGGCCGCCGTTCCCCTGCAGCGCCCCTCCCGCCTCTCCACATGGCCGGGCCCTTCGGGACTCAGCGAACCGCTGCTCCCAGCTCGCGGGCTGCCTGAGCAAAGCGAAGGGGGCGGAAAGTCCCGGCTCTTTCCAGGCTGTTCCAAGCCGAGTTTGCCCAGCTGCGCCCTCTACAGGGTCCCGCCATGGCGCCCTCTAGTCGAGCCCGCGTGTTTTCTTCTGCCCGTCTCGTATGGCCTGGTACAACCAGGTGTGGTGTGTCCCGGGGGCTGACCGTTCTTCCCCCCCAACACACACACGCCTGGGATCCGCTCAGTCTCCCTCTCCCGCATCCATGTGAATGCAAAAATATGTCAGTTATGAATGACAGGGCTTTGGAAACTGGGAATTGAGTTTTTCTCAACTAAAAAAGAGCCCAGTTACGTGTTTTTCTCCTTTATCTTATTTTTAACTCGATACATTTACTAGAATTAAGATCTCTTGGCAACACACAAATAATATAGTTTAATACAGATTGATTTAACTCAAGGGATTTAAATCGCAAAAAAAATCATCGCTGTAAATCGTTTCCCACTGATACATCTTCAAATAGTTCTTCAAACAATAGTGCAAATTTGATAATTAAAATGTTTATTTACAGCTCTGTACAGCATTTTACATAATCAAAGAGGGTATACTATGTGTAATTTTTAGATAGCTTGATTTTTATTAATTTAGGAAATAATACATAATACTCATTGCCTGTGTCAAACTTCAGAGGCAGCAGTACAGTAGGAATGGTAAAAACTAAATCTCACAAAAAGACAATAGCACTTATATTTTATTAAACTAGATCTTAAATGTTACATAAATGTTTCACATTTGCAACTGCAGTAGTCTTTTGAGTTGCTGTCTGATGTCTGTCCCTAAACCTTTTTTTAATTCATTTTCAAATTATATTAACATTGACATGTCCCCAGAATACTAAAATGTATGGTGTCCTTAAAACTTTTACAGAACAACTAACTCTCATCTTCCACACTCCATCTGTCATTTTGATGCAGATCTGTCCCTAAGTTACCAAAAAAGCTGTGTTTAGAGTGCACTTAATTTTGGAGAAAACCCCATTGAAAACAAGTATAGAATGGGGTTCCTTTGGAAAAGCAGAGTTATGCTGAAGTGAAATAGGGAGCAGACTTATGGCATTACCATTATGCTCTGTGACCATGTGGTACCAAAATAAGAGGCATGTATTATGTAACATAAAATAAGAAAATGACAGTGGCAACTGGCAACTCTAGCTTTCTCTTTTTGCAGCTGTGAGCTGACAAAATAGCTGGCCCTGGGCAAGGTTTGGGGGTAAAACTAATCCGAGAGCTGATTGGCATGCTGACCACATAGCTTGGCGACGGTCCCTAGTGGCGTGATTGCGGCTCCATGTTGCCTTTGTAATTTGGTAACCCTCCCTTAATCGCAGCTCCCTGAAGCCCCAGCCCTTTGCGCTCGCAGACCCTGCCCTTTGAGGACAGTGCCTGAGCCGGGTCGCCGCGACGCCCCCTAACGGTTCTCGCTGGAGGCGCAGGGGCGGTGCTGGTGCATAGCTTGGCGACGGTCCCTAGTGGCGTGATTGCGGCTCCATGTTGCCTTTGTAATTTGGTAACCCTCCCTTAATCGCAGCTCCCTGAAGCCCCAGCCCTTTGCGCTCGCAGACCCTGCCCTTTGAGGACAGTGCCTGAGCCGGGTCGCCGCGACGCCCCCTAACGGTTCTCGCTGGAGGCGCAGGGGCGGTGCTGGTGCC